TCTTTTGTCTGTTGATTCACTCCCCAAGCAGATGCAATGGCTGGAGCTGTGCCTATCTGAAACCAGGAGCCTGGAGCCTCTTCTGGTTCTCCCACATGGGTGCAGGGTCCCAAGGCTTTGGGCCATCCTCAACTGCTTTCCCAGGCCACAGGCAAGGATCTGGATGGGAAGTGGAGTGGTCAGGATTAGAACCAGTGCCCATATGGGATCCCGGCGCATTCAAGGTGAGGAATTTAACCGCTAGGCCACGGTGCTGGGCCCTGGAATGATTAATTTTTATGATTAATTTTTTTAAATTATTCTTATAACACTACAAAATACTTTGTTTTTAAGATTCATTTGTTTTTATTGGAAAGCCAGACATACAGAGAGAAGGAGAGAGAGAAAGATTTTCCGTTCACTGGTTCTCTCCCCAAGCGTTTGCAATAGCCAGGATGAGTCAATCTGTAGCCAGGAGCCAGGAGCTTCCTCCAGGTCTCCCATGTGGGTGCAGGGTCCCAAGGCTTTGGGCTGTGCTCTCCTGCTTTCTAGGCCTCAAACAGGGAAGGTGCAAGAGAAATGAAGCAGCTAGGATACGAACACGCACCCAAATGGGCTCCCGGGCGACACATGCAAGGCGAAGACTCTAGCCACTAGGCTATTGCGCTAGGCCCAAGACAGAATATTTTAAAAGATTTATTTCCTTTCATTGGAAAAGACACTTTCGGAGAGAAGGGCACACGGAGAGAAAGATCACCTGGGACGTGAATGAGTGTTCATATTGGATCCTGGCACATGCAAGGTGAGAATTTAGCCGCTGAGACATTGTACCTTGCCCACTGCAATTTTTTCTTTTAAGATTTATTTTTGTTTGAAGCACAGAATCATAGAGATAAGAAGAAACAGATTTTTCCATCCAGAGATTGACTTCCCAAATGGCTGCAAAGGCCTAGCTGAGTGGATCCAAAGCCAGGAGCCAATAGCTTCTTTCCGGTCTCACACATGGGTGCTGGGACCCAAAGACCTGGGCCATCCACTGCTCAGTAGAGGACGGCCCAAAGCCTTGGGACCCTGCACCCACGTGGGAGACCTGGAAGAAGTTCCTGGATCCTGGCTTCGCATCAGCTCAGCTCCACTGTAGTCACTTGGGGAGTGAATCATCAGACAGAAGATCTTTCTGTCTCTCCTCCTCTCTGTATATCTGACTTTGCAATAAAAATAAAGTAAATCTGAAAAGAAATTTTGTTTAGTTCCTCTAAGTCAATGTTTATTGCTAGTGGAAAATATATTTATTATATATGATATTATATAAATAAATTTATTTATTATATATTTATATTATATATGATATTATCACACATAAACAGTCTAATATTCACAATGGTGTGAAAGTGATACATGTCCATAAGAAACTAATCTTTGGATTTGGAGCCTTTCCTGGGCTGGTGATATGTGGGGCAATGCTGTCTAGATGCTGAGCAGCAACAGCTTCCAGTCAGCCACAGGGTTAGAGTACATAATTGATATTTTATAGTATCCTTTGCTGCTAAGTTATGATGTCCAGTAAGTGGAGGTACCCTGAATGTATTTTTGATTTGTAAGAGTTTCTTGCATTGGATTCATGAGGAATCCAAACCATGTTAAAAGGAGAATCTGTACAAGATATAGTAGAAATGATGTATTTTTACTAATTTAAAAAGCTTAACAATAGCTGTTAATTCATGTTTACAATTAGCTGTTGTTAAATGGAAGTCCCACAGGATGATGTGAAAGTTACTAGGATGGGGTCTGCACAATGGCTCAACTGGCTAATCCTCAACCTCCAAGCACTGGCATCCCATATAGGCATTGGTTCATGACCCGTCTGCTCCACTTCCATATCAGCTCCTTGCTTATGGCCTGAAAAAGCAGTGGAGGACAGCCCAAAACCTTGGGACACTGCACTCATGTGGGAGACCCAGAAAAAGTTCCTGGCTTCTGGCTTTGGATTGGGTCAGGTCAGCCATTTGGGGAGTGAAGCAGCTGATGGAAGAATTTTCTCTCTGTGTGTTTTTCTCTCTGTATATCTGTCTTTTCAATAAACATAAATAAATCTGTAGAAAAGAAAGAAAGAGAGAAAGAAAGAAAGAAAAAGAGGGCCCCGGCGCGGTGGCGCAAGTGGTTAAAGGTCCTCGCCTTGCACGCCCGGGATCCCATATGGGCGCCGGTTCTAATCCCGGCAGCCCCGCTTCCCTTCCAGCTCCCTGCCTGTGGCCTGGGAAAGCAGTCGAGGACAGCCCAAAGCTTTGGGAACCTGCACCCGCGTGGGAGACCCGGAAGAGGCTCCTGGCTTTGGATCGGCATAGTATCGGCCCATTGCGCTCACTTGGGGAGTGAATCATCGGACGGAAGACCTTCCTCTCTGTCTCTCCTCTCTGTATATCCGCCTTTCCAATGAAAAAATAATAAAAATAAATCTTTAAAAAAAAAAAGAAAGAAAGAAAAAGAAAGAAAGAGAAAGAAAGAAAGAAAGAAAGGGAAAGGAAGAGGGGAGGGGAGGGGAGGGGAGAGGAGAGGGGAAGAGAAAAGAAGAGAAAAGAGAAAGTTGCCAGGAGAAGGATGCTTGGCACGAAGCCTGATTGTAGTCCTAACAATAGTTTGCGGTCTGATCTTCAGTTTTGCATATTCGTAAACTCACTATTTTCCACTCAACGGAGTTGATTGAAACTGGCTATGTGAACTCCCACTAAAGACATTTACAAGAGGCTAATGTATAATCAAAAATGTTAAATTATTAATTTTACAAATTAAGCATAATTCTTCACATAGATTTGACTCAAAATAGCAAATTATTTTTCTATGCACAGATACCCATTGGAAACCAAATTGTCACTACTTACTGGTGACACAGAATGAAGACAAGCTGTTTGTGTGACAATTCAAATGTATAATACCAGCTATTATGACAATGCTATTGGTCTAACTCCCCAATGCGGACTAAAGAGTATTTGTTTTACTCTGAGTGTACACATATCCCACCTCCTGCAGTAGTTTCTGTTCACTTAAAAAAAAAAAGATTTATTTATTTTTATTGGAAAGTCAGATATACAGAAAGGAGAGACAGAGAGGAAGATCTTCTATCCGATGATTCACTCCCCAAGTGAGTGCAACGGCTAGTGCTGCGCCAATCCAAAGCCACGAGCCAGGAACCTCTTCCAGGTCTCCCACATGGGTGCAGGGCCCCGAGGCTTTGGGCCGTCCTCGACTGCTTTCCCAGGCCACAAGCAGGGAGCTGGATGGGAAGTGGAGCAGCTGGGAATAGAATCAGCACCCATATGGGATCCAGGTGCATTCAAGGCAAGGATTTAGCCTCTAGGCCACCGTGGTGGGCCATTCCTGTTCAATTTTAAAGGACTTTTTTCTAGGATGTCATTATTTGTAAAGTCGAGATTCTGAGATACCATGTGTTGACTGGTGTGTGTCCTGGCTGCTCTACTGCCCATCCAGCTTGTTGCTAACAGCCTGGTAAAACAACAGAAGATGGCCACTCACATTGGAGTTCCAGAGGAAGCTCTGGCTTCAGTCTGACTCCGCGCTGAGCACTGCAGCCATCAGAGGAGTGAATGAGTAAATAGAAGACCTCTCTCCCTCTTTATTCCTCTTTTGAATAAATAAATCTTAAATTTTTTTCTATGCTTCCTTTGCTAATCAAAGCCCTTGATAAGTATAATTTTTTTCTTCTAGTTATCTTTTAAAAAAATACTTAAGCAAAATATGTTCTTTAGTGGTTCTCTTTTCAATTTTTATTAATATTGTTCACTTGGAGGCTATTTTATCCTTCAAGGACATTATCTCTTTACAGGCCAATTTGCAGTTATAGGGATGAGGTGAAACACTACAATCTAATAAGTTTTATTTTATTCTATGGTGGTACTCTCATGAGTGCATAGGATTAAAAATCAGGACACTAAATTAATATAGAAGGGTTATATATTGTTAGTGTATGTTCAAAATACTCATGCGATATATTTAAAATGGCATTCATGGCAGTGGGCAGGTGGAACAGCAGTTTGTGGCTTGTGGAGCCCTCAGTCCATGTTAGAGTGCCTGTTTCAAGTCCTATCTACTCAGTTTTTGATTTAACTTCATGCTAATGCACTCCATGGGGAAAGTAATAGATAGTGACTCAGGTACTTGGGTCTCTGCCACCCATGTGGGAGATCTGGATTGAGATCCTGACACCTGGCTTCAGCTTTGGGGACTTAAATCAGAGAATGGGAAATCTCTGCTTTCTCTGTGTTTAAAATAAAATAGGAGGAAAAGTCCCTGTGTTTAAAAAGTTTCATTTTGGGGCCCGGCACGATAGCCTAGCAGCTAAAGTCCTCGCTTTGAAGGCTCCGGAATTCCATATGGGCGCTGGTTCTAATCCTGGCCGCTCCACTTCCTATCAAGATCCCTGCTTGTGGCCTGGGAAAGCAGTCGAGGACAGTCCAAAGCCTTGGGACCCTGCACCCGTGTGGGAGACCTGGAAGAGCTCCTGGCTCCTGGTTTCGGATCAGCGCAGCTCTGGCCACTGTGGCCCCTTGGGGAATGAATCATCCGACGGAGGAACTTGTCTGTCTCTCCTTCTCTCTGTATATTTGACTTTCCAATAAAAATAAATACATCTTTTTTAAAAGTTTCATTTTTTATCTGAAATTTAAATTTAGCTATCTTGAGCTTTTATTTGCTAAACTTGGCAACCCTATAAGTATAATATAATGACGCCATAAATTTATACTGGTCGATAGGTACCAATCTATCTAATTATCTTAGGGAACAAAAACTGTTCTCAATGTCAAAAAAAATTGTTTCCGTTAACAGCGGTCAGAACGAAGCATTGAACAATCTTGACTGACTGAGGAACCCGTAACCGGGGCAACCGCCATAAACGCTGCTTTGATCGCGTTCCCGCCTCCTGCATTCTCTTTCCGCAAGGAGGGGGAGTGGCTTTAAGCGCCTCTCCCATCTCCAGTTCCGCCCTTGCAGCTATTCATGGTAGCGAGGAACCGGACGCCCTTAAGGAGCCGGCCGCAGGGCCGACGTGGAACTCCGAGAAGCGGAAGTGGTCAGGTGTCGGGTGCCGTAAAGCGCGCCTGGCTTTCCGGCCTTCCGGGTAACGCCGAGCGCGCCGAGTACCAGTACCGGCGTTCCTCGTGTGCGGGAATCGGCCGGACCCTTGCTAATTTCATTTCTTTCGCATTCCAGGCCCTTCCCTGTCGTCGTACCGTCCGCCTGGGATCATGTTTAAGAAGTAAGGACGGGCTGTGACCTCCGTGGGGGCTCACAGAGGCGGTGGGGGCGGAGAGGGCTGAGGGCGAGGAGCTCCCTTCGCGTCTCCCCCGCCCCTGCCGTGCTGACCCCCTAAGCTCTCGCTCGCAGCTTGTACCACTTCTTTAAGCCTTCTTTTCCCTAGTTCTTAAACTGGCTTTCGTTTCCTCCCCTCCGTTTTGTTTCTCCTTTTCTCTTTGCCGAGTTGTGTTTCCACTCATGGGGTTCTGCCAGTCCCGTCGTGGCACTGTGGTTTAGGCGGCCTGTCCTCCTGAGCCGAGAGGGAGACCTTCCACCCGCAGCCACATGCTTATTAGTTGTGAACTGGATAAGGGAAGGCTCGACTTCCTGGGTCCTGGGAATAGGGCAGTCTGGGTGACAGGAAACAGGAGGCATGGCGTGCTCGTTGCTTAGCTGCCAGCTTAACCCTGTGTTGAAAATAACGTGCTTGCTTCATAGGCTGTGCAAGGAAGACAAAAATTCCTTGCCCCACTGATTTGGTAAAGGCGAGAAACAAAGGGGAACGTAGGCAAAGGAAGGTGGGTTTTGTGCATGAGATTTGATGCCAAAATAAATAGGGATCTTGGAAATCATCATTCTCACTTTTTTTGGGTCAAATCTCAGCGGCTGTTTTCTGTGTTGTGATTGCATTGATGTACCGTATTTATAATTGATATTTTTTTTCCCTCATTGCTTCAAGTTTTTTTTCTTTTTTAAAGCACAAGTTTCATTATTGGTAGGTTACTGTTTCTTCTTGGGTAGCACTGACTAAGATTTTTCTGGAAAATCACTTGTATCATATTACAGATTATTGGATATTGCCTATTATACTGCAAAGTCGGCCTCATCCCTGCCCCAGATTTGTCAGCTAATTGCTGTGTGCGTGAGTTTGTTGTAATACTGTATTAAGTTGTGAGTTTGTGCTGGAAAGAATGAAAGTGTATTTCTAATTATCTTAAGCCCTGAATACTTGTTTGGCAATAGAGAACTAGTAAAAAAAAACAATACCTTAACATATTCTGCTCCTTAGAAATGCCTTTTTTTTTTCTTGCAAAAAAATCGTTTGTCAGATTTGATGAAAAAGAAAATGTGTCCAACTGCATCCAGCTGAAAACCTCAGTTATTAAGGGGATTAAGAACCAATTGCTGGAGCAGTTTCCAGGTATCGAACCATGGCTTAATCAGATCATGCCTAAGAAAGATCCTGTCAAAATTGTGCGGTGGTAAGTCGGTTTTTTTTTTTCCCTCTGTGTAATGCTGCCAGTAGTTGGATAGTTAATGATCCGGTTCCACTTGTATTAAATGGAATTATTTTTGCATTAGTGTTGATGGCTGATGATGTACATGGAGAGATGCAGAATAACTAAAAATCACCCATCTTTAGATTCTCAGCGAATGTTTATGTCCATGAGAAATGCGACTTGGAATTGCTTGTTGAAGAGCCACATGTTTTCAGAGTTGTGTTTGATTCCTTTGAGCGTATTGAATCACATAGCATGGAATTAAAGTAATAAAATAGGAAATAAAGCTGGTTATAGCAGTTTACATTATCCTTTTTTCCCTCTGGTGGCCATAGGAAGGACAGTGTAAGTGAGCTCTTTTGGCAGGAATCGTGACTGTGAAAATTGTTAAGTTCACTGTATCTGTGTACATGTATGTCTCATGTCTGTTTTAAAGGATATTTGACATATTCCTAAATTATCTAACTTGATACTTTGCCACACTTGCCTTACAGCCATGAACATATAGAAATCCTTACAGTAAATGGAGAATTACTCTTTTTTAGACAAAGAGAAGGACCTTTTTATCCAACGCTAAGGTTACTTCACAAATGTAAGTCTTGTTAGAAATATGCATTTTGAAATATTGATAACCACAAAAGGAGTTGCAAATAACTTTTGATAGGTATTTCATATTAATTTTAAGGAGTTACTTATGTAGTTAAAACAGAGCAGCGGAAAGGGAGTGATTGATACCACCAGTCGGCTGCTTCACTCCCCAAATGGCTACGCAGCAATGGCTGGACCCGGCTAAGGCCAGGAGCCTGCAGTTCCATCCTTTTCCTCCATGTGCGTGCCAGGCCCAGGTACTTGGGACATTATCCACTGCTTTCTCAGACACATTAACAATGAGCTGGATCAAAAGTACAACAGTGGGAAGGGGACATGCGCTCCAGTCATAGCAGTCGGTGGTGGCTTAACTTGCAGTGCCTCAATGCCAGCTTCCAGTAAACTCAGTGAGTACTACGTAATAAAGAATATAAAATTAAGGCCCAGCATAATAGTCTGGTGGCTAAGGCCCTTGCCTGGCATGCACTGGGATCCCATATGAGCGCCGGTTCTAATCCCAGCCACTCCACTTCCTGCCGGAGTCCAGCTCCAGCTGAGTTCGGAACTCGCAAAGGGTGCGTGGATGAGGCGCAAAGAAAGAGAAAGAGACGGACCACTAGTAACTCTTCATCATCATAATGGACTACGCACAAAAGCTGTCCGCTTTATTTATACAAAATCAGTCAAACTCTGGCTCAGACTTTTTACGTCATGGTCAAGATAACTCTGCCATTTGTTTCACCTAAGGCTAGGATGTTAACCACCTGGTGCCTGGCACCTGGCGCCTGGCTAGGAAAAGGTTCTCAATAGATGATGCATATCAGTCAGTAGCACATTCCTACCACAATTACTTTACAGCTAGGTCTTGAGACAGTCAAGGAAGGAAGGAGCCTAAAAGATCAAAGAAAGAGGGAAAGAATAGATTCCCACTACACCTGAAGACAGAACACCCTTGATTAGCATAGGATCAAAAGGGGGAGTTAACACTCTTGATTAACATATTGCCACAGGACGCAGCCCTAACAGCGATAATAGCTCTTTGGCTAAAAATGGCACCAGCAACATTAGCTTCTAAGTTCCTATTGATATTTAACAGTAACTCCGCAGAGGCAGGCAATGCCTACATAGATTACAGAATACTCAGCGGGGTTGTCCGGTGTCCATGCAGAGGGAGGCAAAGCTGCATTCAGGTGTTGTAGAGACATCCACCGGGCCTTGCCACACAGCGGGAAGTTCCTTGTGGCCTTGCCTGCAATAGAACCATAGTCTTCACACCTTCCTGTCTTTCACTCCCATCACACGGACCCCAGCAACTTCCCATCTAGCTCCCTGCTTGTGGCCTGGGAAAGCAGTCGAGGATGGCCCAAAGCCTTGGGACCCTGCACCCATGTGGGAGACCTGGAAGAGACTAGACTCCTAGCTTTGGATCAGCTTAGCTCCGCTGTTGTGGCCATTTGGGGAATGAACCAGTAGATAGAAGTTCTTCCTCTGCCTCTCCTTTTCTCTGTATATCTGACTTTCCAATTAAAGAAAAATTTTTTTTAAGGAATATAAAATTAAAATGAGGGGCTGGTGCTGCCTATAGTGCCAGCATCCCATATGGGTACCCATTTGAGTCGTGGCTACTCGACTTCTAATCCTGCTCCCTGCTGATGTACCTTGAGCTTAAGATGATCTAACTCGTTGGGTTCCTGCACCCATGTTGGAGACCCAGAAGTAAGTTTTTATGCCTGGTTTTGTATAGACCTAGTTCTGACCATTGCTGCCTTTTGGGGAGTGAACCAGTGGATGGAAGATGCCTCTGTTCCTCTTTCTTTCTCTGTGCGGCTCTCTCTCAAATGAATACATCTTTAAAAATTTGAAATGAATGCCCATCTTGTGATAAATCTGAAAAATAAGAAGTTTCTCACTATATTCCAGAAAGCCCAAGAATTGCATTCATTTAGTCATTCAAGTGTTTATTGAACTTATTGAACAGGGCACTGGGCTGGGTATTTAGATGACAATGAGAAGCGAAGACAGATAATTCTTGTTCCTTTGAATTTAGAAGTTTAGCTGGGAAAACAGAAATTAGGTAGTTGCACAAGTATGTATTCATCAACTCTGGTACACCTTGTGATAAATGATTTTAAACGTTGGCTGCATGGTTGTAATAGCCCTGGATAAATGTGGGGCTCTCAGTTACTGCTTCTTGAGACCATGGTAGAGATTGTGGAATCATATTTCATACTCAGACTTGCCTTTTTGTTTTTTTAACTTTAAAGATGTATCTTGTTTATTTGCAAGGCAGAGTTACAGAGACTGAAGGCGAGGCAGAGATTTCCCACCTGCTGGCCTACTCCACGCATGGCCACAATGGCTCGGCTTGGCTCAGGTCAAAGCCAGGAGCCTGCAGCTTCACGCAGGTTTCCACGCGAGTGGCAGGGGCCAAGACACCGGGGCTGCCTTGCATTGCCTCTCCAGGCACGGTAACATGGAACTGGAGAAGACCAGTGTGTGACACTCGCATTGGTTGTCCCAGCTGGTGGCTTAACCTGTTACCCCACAATGCCAGATCTTGCATCTTGTTAAATTCTTTTGTTACAAAAGAATATACAAAGAAAAGATATAATCTAGTATGTAAGATTTCCAATAGCAAGTAAAATTGCTTTTCAGTCTGGAATTTTAGCCAAAAGACACAAGAGAGAGTGGCAGGGTTGTGTTACTGCTGATGATTTTTAGCTTGGCTTTTAGGTAAGAGATCAATTTTCAGTTATCTGCTCTGTGGAGGTCACGAATAGTAAACCTATTAGTCAAATCTTAAGAGGGTTAGAATATTTATAAGAGAATAAGTAAGTTCATTTCATTAAACTGGTAGAAGGGCCCGGCGCAGTAGCCTAGTGGCTAACATCCTTGCCTTGCACGCTCCAGAATCCCATATGTGGACCGGTTCTAATCCTAGCAGCTCCACTTCCCATTTGGCTCTCTGTGGCCTGGGAAGGCAGTCGAGGATGGCCCAAAGCTTTGGGACCCTGCGCCTGTGTGGGAGACCCACAACAGGCTCCTGGCTCCTGGCTTAAGGTTAGATTGGCTCAGCTCCAGCCATTGTGCTCACTTGGGGAGTGAATCATCAGATGGAAGATCTTTCTCTCGGTTTCTCCTCCTCTCTGTATATCTGAGTTTCCAATCAACTAACTAACTAACTAAATAAATCTTTTGAAAAAACTAATGAAAAATTGAATTGATCCATTGGGAAAATTTTTTTAAATGTTTACTTATTTTTATTGGAAAGGCAGTTTTACAGAGAAAGAGAGATGGAAAGATCTATCTGCTGATTCACTTCCCCAATGGCTGAAACGGCCAGTTCTGAGCTGATCTGAAGCCAGGAACCTCTTCTAGGTCTCCCATGCGGGTGCAGGGGCCCAAGGCTTTGAGCCATCCACCACTGCTTTTCCAGGCCACAAGCAGGGAGCTGGGTGGGAAGTGGGGCACCCAGGACATGAAGCAGCGCCCATATGGGATGGTGGTGCATACATTTGGAGGATTAGCCAGTTGAGCCTATTGTTTTGGTCCACATTGGGAGCATTTTTAAATGAAATTATTTTGGTAAAATTGAGGCATTTTGATGTTAATTGCAATTTAACTTTTCCCATAGCAAAGGATTTTAAGGACTTCATTTTTTAAAAAAGGTTTATTTATTTTTATTGGGAAGTTAGAGAGGAGGAGAGATAGAGAGGCAGATCTTCTGTCCGCTGATTCACTCCCCAAGCAACTGCAACGGCTGGAGCTGAGCCAATCCGAAGCCAGGAATTTCCTTCCTGTTCTCCCACATGGCTGTAGGGTCCTCAGGCTTTGGGCTGTCCTCAGTTGCTTTCCCAGGCCACAGCAGGGAGCTGGATGGGAAGCGGGGCTGCCAGGATTAGAACCGGTGCCCACATGGCATCCTGGAGCATGCAAGGTGAGGATTTTAGCTGCTAGGCTACTGTGCTGGGCCTAAGAGTTTATGTTTGTTTAAAGATTTTATTGGAAAGGCAGAATTATAGAGAAGGAGAAATAGAAAGATCTTTTATCCACTGTTTCACTCCCCAAATGGCTGCAGTGAATGGAGCTGACATGATGTGAATCCAGGGCCAGGAGCTTCCTCCAGATCTATGTGTGTGCTGGATCCCAAAGCTTTGGGACATCCTCCATTTCTTTCACAGGCTACAGCAGGGAGCTGGAAGGGAACTGAAACAGCCGGGACATGAACTGGCACCCATATGTGATCCCAGCACGTGCAAGGTGACGATTTAGCCATGAAGATAACTGTGTTGGGCCCAAGGACTTTATTTTCCTTTTTCTTTTTCTTTTTTGTTTTTTAAAGATTTATTTATTTGTTTGCAAAGGCAGATATACAGAGAGGAAGATCTCCCGTCTGATGATTCACTCCCCAAGTGAGCGCAACAGCTGGTGCTGCGCTGATCTGAAGCCAGGAGCCAGGCGCTTCCTCCAGGTCTCCCATGCGGTGCAGGGTCCCAAGTCTTTGGGCCGTCCTTGGCTGCTTTCCCAGGCCACAAGTAGGGAGCTGGATGGGAAGTGGAGCTACTGGGATTAGAACCGGCACCCATATGAGATCCTGGCGCGTGCAAGGCGAGGATGTTAGCTGTTAGACCACCACAGCGGGCCTAGAACTTTATTTTTCTTAAAAAAAAAAAGATTATTTTAAAGTCAGACATAAATAGAATGTGGCAAAAGATTAATAAATAGTTACTGAATCTAATTGTATTTTGTGTCCATATATTTACTTAATCTAGTTTTTAATTTGTTGAATGTTTACATAATAAATGGGGTAAAAGCTGTGCCTTAAATTTTTCTTGATAGCAACCTTTTAGAAAATCTGAAAGTTATTCTGTGCAAGAATCAGGATAATACGGTGGTTTAAACCTTGAATTTGGGGCCCAGCACAATAGCCTAGTTGCTAAAGTCCTCATCTTGAGCGCACACCGGGATCCCATGTGGGCCCTGGTTCTAATCCTGGCAACCCCACTTTCATTCCAGCTCCCTGCTTGTGGCCTGGGACAGCAGTCGAGGACGGCCCAAAGACTTGGGCCCCTGCACCCGTGTGGGAGACCTGGAAATAAGTTCCTGGCTCCTGGCTTCAGATCAGTGCAGCCCTGACCATTGCGGTCATTTGGGGAGTGAATCATCGGACAGAAGATTTTCTCTGTCTCTCCACCTCTGTATATCTGACTTTCCAATAAAAATAAATAAAAAGCAAAACTTCATTTTGAAATTAGGAAGAGCTGGGTTCAAATCACACTATATGTCGCTTTTGCAAAATCACTAAACTTATTTAAGCTTTGTTTTCTTCATGTCTTTAAGGCGGACATAATAATTTACTATATCTCTAAGAATTGTGAGGATTAAATGAAATAGTGCATCTAGTAGTCTTAACTACCTGAAATACACTAAATCCTCAGTATATGATCGCTGTTACAAATGTAATAATTGTTCAGTGAGTGATCATTAGTAGTAATTATCATTATTAAGGGAGAGATATTAATGAGGGTGGAGAGTTAGGAAATTATGGCTTGTGATAGTAATTACATTCATTAAATTTTCTTTTTTAATAGTAAGGAAATTTAACATGTTTTCATTAGTCTGGTGCTTTGGTCAGGCCTAGAGTAAGGCATAAAATGAATACATTTTACCCATTGTCGTTATTATTCCTTGAGAACTCCAAGAGGTTTAAAATGTTTCCCTCCAGTCATTATTTGAAGACTTTCAGTGATCCCAGGGTTAGGTTATGAATTATTAGTAGACATACTTTGATATTTAATTTATTAATACTTTATTTAAAGAAACTGAAGAAACACGCATATTAAAAAGTTATAAAATTTGCAGGGTTCGACAACATGTAAGTAACGGTTCCCTGAGCTTGAGTTAACTATTCATGTGTTGTGCTTCCATCCAGTTTTCTGTGTGATAGTCTGGATTTCCTGCTGTGGAGCCCGCTGCTGTGGTCCCCCCGTTGGTGATACCTGGCATTGGTGTCATATACGTGTTGCAGCTGATGGACTCACACTGACATCATTATTAATCAAAGTGCATAGTTTCCCTTAGGCTTCACTCTTGTATAGTTCTGTAGACGACAATGTCAAGTGCCCACGGTTATGGTGGTTTTACTTCCCTTCCCTCACATTCCTTGTACCCCAGCTATACCTCCCCCCCCTCCTCCTTCCCTCTGAGCCCCTAAGTAACCTGATCTTTCTGATGCTTTCTTCCATTTGACGTTATATCATGAGTATTACTGAGAGTATTAATTTTGTTACTCAAGACTGGAGGCATATCTTATTTAACCATTAAGTTTTTGGATATTTAAATTCACTTCAGTTTATTTCAGTTGTGTTACTGTCTTTCTACTTAAAATAAATTTTACTTTTGTTATCTTCCCTTAGGAGAAAATTCTAGAATTATTGAATTTAAGAGTTTGAATCATTCCAAGGCTATTGATACATGTTGTCAAAGTAGTTATACCCATTTAGAAGCCTCTTAGCAGTGTGTGGGAATGCCAGCGTTCCCACATTCTTGCTAGCACTGATAGTTACTTTTCATAAAAATATTTATCATATGATTAAGTTAAAAATTGGTGTTTTAGTTTTATTTTTTCTCAGTGTATTGGCATTTTGGAAAATATTTGTTTATGTCCTTTCCCTTTTTTTCAGTTATCACTTTTAATGTGTGTAATATATTTTTTTCCTCCAGATCCTTTTATCCTGCCACACCAGCAGGTTGATAAAGGCGCCATCAAATTTGTACTCAGTGGAGCAAATATCATGTGTCCAGGCTTAACTTCTCCAGGAGCCAAGCTTTACTCTGCAGCGGTAGATACCATTGTTGTATCCTTCCCAGGCGGACTGCTGACAAAGGCATTCATTGTGTTCTTGTTTTCACATAGTCCCTTTTGAAGGTTCTCTCAGGCCCTTCTCATGCCAGCTGAAGTATTGGGGATCAGCTTTTTTGTTTCTTTGTACTAAATTGTGTCCTGTCCTATTTTGGGGATTTTCTTTGATTTTAAATGGGAAGACATTGTAAAAGAGGTCCAGCTGCATTTCAACCCATTTAGAACCTATTGTTTATATATTTTTAAGGATTATTTCTTTGAAAGGCAGACTTATACAGAGAGAGGGACACGGAAACACATACATACACACACACAGAGCCACACACCCCTTGCTGGTTCACTCCCCACATGGTTACAGTGATTGGGGCTGGTCCAGGACAGAGCCAGGAGACAGGTGCTTCCTCTGGGTCTCCCACATGCATGGCAGGGGCCCAAGCAATTAGACCACCTTCTGCTGCTTTCCTAGGTACATTGAAGGGTGGATTGAAAATGGAGCAACGGGCCCAGTGTGGTAACCTCATAGCTAAAGTCCTCGCCTTGCATGCTCTGGGATCCCAGTGTGGGTGCAGGTTCTAATCCTGGCAGCCCTTCTTCCCATCCAGTTCCCTGCCTGGGAAAGCAGTTGAGGATGGCCCAAAGCCTTGGCACCCTATACCCATGTGGGAGACACAGAGGAGGCTCCTGGCTTCAGATTGGCACAGCTCTGGCTGTTGCGGCCTAGTGGGGAATGAATCATCGGACGGGAATTCTCTTTGTCTCTCTTTGTATATGTGACTTTCCAATAAAACTAAAATAAATCTTAAGAAAAAAAAAGTGGAGCAACTAGGACTTGAACTATTTTTTTTTCTTTTTCTTTTTCTTTTCTTTTTTTTTTTTGATAGATGGCAAACTGGATGGGAAATGGAGTAGCTTGTACACAAACTGGCACCGGTATGGGATCCTGGTGTCTGCAGGAAGAGGGCTAGCAATTGAGCCATCATGTCTGGCCCGTCAAATTAGCAGTTCTGTGGGATACCAGTGTAACAAGTGTGGCTTAATTCCCTGTGCTAAAATGCTGGCCCGAGGACTACTTTTATCAGACTAAAGACAGTACAATGGATTTAGTTACTAGTGGAAACGATGGAGATGATGTGCTGTGGATCAGCTTTGGGGATATCACTTCAGTCTTTAGCTTCGCTTTTCCAGGTGTACTGCAGTAAGTGCATGCAAAAAGAAAAAGAATTCAGGTACTGGGTATGATTTTTTTTTTCTGATTATGACATTTTTTCCCAAATTTTGCGGTAGAAATGAGTCATGTGGGGAGTGAACCAGAGGATAGAAGATATCTTTCTTTCTCTCTCTTCCCTCTATAAATTTGCCTTTGAGATAAAGAAAATGAAATGGGTCGAATGGGAGATTTTGGAAACCAAGAAGATGAAGTAGATAAGGTAGAAGATGTTGGAAAGCTCTGACTTCTTTTTTTTCAAAATAGATTTTGCGTGTGGAGAGGGGAGTTGTGAATTTTTTTTTGTCCAAAGGGAACTGTGAAGTCCCAGGCAGTCCTTAAGTGTCTGTTCCAGCTGTGGTATTGCTGAGTAATTATGCAAGATTTCCATTCATAAGTAGCTGTTTCAGTTATATTCTTAAATCAGTGGGTTTTTAAGAAAGATTTATTTCTTTCTCTTAGAGAGGCAGATGTATAGAGTGAAGCAGAGACAGAAAGATCTTCCATCCCTTGGTTCGCTCCCCAAGTACCACAATGGCTGAAGCTGAGCTGATCTGAAGCCAGGAGCCAGGAGCTTCTTTGGGGTCTCCCATGCGGATGCAGGGTCCCAAGGCCTTGGGCCGTCCTCGACTGCTTTCCCAGACCACAAGCAGGGAGCTGGATGGGAAGTGGAGCATATGGGACGTGAACCGGCACCCAGATAGGATCCTGGCACTTGTAAGAGGAGGATGGGCCAATTGAGACGGAGGAAAGCCATCATGCTGGGCCCAGCAGGTTGTATTTTTATGCTCATGATTTCTTTAAGTGTTAGTAAGTTCATAGTTCTAGTCTTTCTCTGAAATGGAAAGACTTATCCTAGTACCAAGTCTTTGCTTTTTCTTCTAATAATTTTATTTTCAAATCATTATAGATTTATAGAAAATTGTGAAATATAGTACAGAAAGGCTCTCTGTACCCTTCATTTTTTTTTTTAAATATTTATGTGAAAGAGAGAAAGAGCTTCTATCCACTGGTTCACTTCCCAAGCTGGAGCTCAATCCAGAAGCTTTTTCCAGGTTCCCACATGGAGGGCAGGGGCCCAAGTCTTGAGCCATTTTCTACTGGTTTCCCGGGCACATTAGCAGGGAGCTAAATCAGAAGTGTAATAGCCAGAATCAAACCAGTGCCCGTTAGGATGCCGGCCCCACAGACTGCCTTCACCGAGTGTATCATACCAGTCCCAAGCATTTCTTTCTTTCTTTCTTTTTTTTTTTTTTAAAGATTTATTTATTTATTGGAAAGTCAGATATACATAGAGGAAGAGAGACAGAGAGGAAGATCTTCCGTCCGATGATTCACTCCCCAAGTGAGCGCAACGGCCAGTGCTATGCCGAGCCGAAGCCAGGAGCCAGGAGTTTCTTCCAGGTATCCACATGAGTGCAGGGTCCCAAGGCTTTGGGCCATCCTCAACTGCCTTCCCATGCCACAAGCAGGGAGCTGGATGGGAAGTGGGGCCACTGGGATTAGAACCAGCGCCCATATGGGATCCTGGGGCATTCAAGGCGAGGACTTAATCAGCTAGGCCATGCTGCCGGGCCTCCAAGCATTTCTTTTAAAAATATATACTCTATTATGTAACATTCCAGAAACTTCAGGTGATAACCAAGACCATTCTGATTATTCTAGAGGAGTGGAAAACATGAAATTGGTTCTTATAGATAAAATGGGAATGCAATCATCTTTTGAAAGATTTATTTATTTTGACTTGAAAGACAGATTTCACAGAGAGAAGGAAAGACAGAGATCTTTCACCTGCTGGCTCACTCCCCAAATGGCTGCAACAGCTGGAGCTGGGCTGAGCCAGGCCAGGCCAATCGTTTCTTCAGGGTCTTCACGTGAAGGCAAGGACTCAAGGGCTTGATCTGTCCTCTCCTGCTTTTCCATGCCATAAGCAGGCAACCAGAATTGGAAACAGTGCCCATATGGATGCCAGCCAGCATCAGTGCTGAAGGCCTAGGCTGCACTTTGCCAAGCTGGCTGCTATAATCATTTTAATGAGCCTTTTATGTAAAGTTAGCACTGAATGGTCAAGAGTAGAGAAACTCATTTTATATATATATTTTTATTTATTTATTTTGAGTTATGTGGTACAATTTCATATAGACTGGGATTTCCTACCACCACCACCCCCAAAAAGTTCATTTTTTAAAAGATTTATTTTTATTGGAAAGTCAGATACAGAGAGGAGGAGAGACAGAGAAGAAGATCTTCTGTCTGTTGATTCACTCCCTAAGCAACCTCAATGGCCAGAGCTGTACTGATCTTAAGCTTGGAGCTCAGAGCTTCTTCTGGGTCTCCCACACAGGTGCAGGGTCTCAAGGGTTTGGGCCATCCTCGACTGCTTTCCCAGGCCACAGGCAGGGATTAGAACCGGCACCTATATGGAATTCAAAGTACATGCAAGGCCACTAGGCTACTGCACCGGGCCTAACAATTCCTTTGTTGTTGTCGTTTTTTCTTTAACAATTTGTTTTTAAAGATGTGTTTCACATCACATGTTGGCTAAGATCAAGTGTAATACTGTATTTCATAGTTTTTAGCATTTATCTACAAGAAACATTTTCTCCTTTTTTGTATGATTCTGGTTTTGTTTGGTGCTATGTATTTTTTTATGATTTATTTATTTATTTTTTATTGGAATGTCAGACATACAGAGGGGAGGAGAGACAGAGAGGAAGATCCTCCGTTTGCTGATTCACCTCCCAAGCAGCTGCAATGGTCGGAGCTCAGGTGATCCGAAACCAGGAGCCAGGAGCTTGTTGTGAGTCCCACACAGGTGCAGAGTCCAAAGGCTTTGGGCTATCCTCAAGTGTACTCTCAGGCCACAAGCAGGGAACTAGATGGGAAGCAGGGCCACCGGGACTGGGATCTCTGCGCATTCAAGGTGAGGACTTTAGCTACTAGGCTATCACACTGGACCCAGTGCTATATTATTGACATTTGAACGAAAACAAAATTATTAGAAGCATGGATTTAGCATTTATTGAGTACAATGCAACCAAGAGAGTGCTGCGTCCTTGCTTTTAAAATGTGAGTGGTCGGGCCCGGCATGGTGGCCTAGCAGCTAAAGTCCTCGCCTTGAATGCCCCAGGATCCCATATGGGCACCGGTTCTAATCCTGGCAGCCCTGCTTGCCATCCAGCTCCCTGCTTGTGGCCTGGGAAAGCAGCAGAGGACGGCCCAAGGCCTTGGGACCCTGCACCCGCATGGGAGACCTAGAAGAAACTCCTGGCTCCTGGCTTCGGATCGGCATAGCATCGGCCGTTGCGCTCACTTGGGGAGTGAATCATCAGACGGAAGATCTTCTAATCTGTCTCTCTATGTATATCTGCCTTTCCAATAAATAAATAAATCTTTAAATAAAAAATGTGAGTGGTCTAGGAGAGGATATAGATGGATGCAAAGGGATCACTGACACCCTTCCCTCCCTTACAAGGCATTTTGGTAAATAGTTTTCTTAGCTGTGTGTTTACAGGCAATTATGGCTGAAGGAAAGCAGCATGCTCTGTGTGTTGGAGTCATGAAGATGTCCGCAGAAGACATGTAAGTCTGCTTTCAGGTCCCCTTACCTCTTAAGATATTGCTAGTCAACTGAACAAGGATCACAATTACGGATGAAATTTGCTCTCATCCATACCACAACTTAAACATTTCTAAGCACAGAACCCTCATTTTATATTTTTCCTAGCAAATAGGAAACTGTTGGAAATCTAGTTTGTCTTCAGAATTGAATTCTTTCATAAATTATCTGAAAAGAACTGCCTGCCCCTCCCCCCGAAAAAAAACCCATGTGCCAGCATACCTTTGTTTATAAGTAGGTGATAATTTAGGATTTTTTTTAATATGTTTTTAAGTTTGGAGGGGGTAAGATGCCTTGTACTTTAAAAAATTTATTTATTTATTTGAATGGCAGAGTTAGACAGAAATGTTGAACATGCTGGTTCACTCCCAAATGATCTCAATGGCCAGAGCTGGGCTAGTCTGAAGTCAGGAGCCAGGAGGTTCTCCCAGGTCTCCCACCTGGCTCATTTCTTTCCTGCTTTAGTAGAGCTGCATTGAAAGAGCAGCTAGGGCTTGAATCAATGCTTGTATGGGATGTTGGCTCTGTAGATCTTGTTTTACTTGCCATGCCACAGTACCGGCCCCATTGCTAAATTTTTATCCCCAGACGTTCAACACCACATAATTTTCTGATCTTGTGCTGTAGCAAATGTAAAACATCAGTGAACCATTGACAATATCAAAAGTGAGGTAGTGTTAAAAACTTTGGAATGCATTTGATAATTAGTTGTATTTTATTTTAGGGTTAATGTTATACTTTACTATTTCCCTAGTGTACTGATGATATTACTTCTATGGATCCAACATTTCATTAAATTTTAATTTATTTTATTTATTTAAAATGCAGAGAAATGCTCCCATCTTCTAATTCACTTCCCAAATTCCCACAATGGCCAGGACTGAGCCAAATCAAAACCAGAGAGAGAGACACTTAATCCAGGCCTGCCACATGGGTGGGCAGGGACTCAGCTCTTTGAGCCATCAGCTGCAAAGCTCCAGGATCTGCATTAGCAGCACCCTGGAATCGGGAGCCAGCGTTAAAACCCGCAGACTCCAGTTTGGCATGTGGGCATCTCAATCAGCATTTTAACTGTTATGCCAAATGCCTGCTCCTTGGCCCTAAGTTGCTAAAATAACTTTAAATCATACCAGTGGTGTGGTTTGATATAAGTGTAATAACAATAAATTTCCTAATGTGACTCTATAGTTATAAAAAATTAGCAGTGCACTTTGGATTATGTTTACCATGAATGAACCCGTAGAAATGAATCAAATGTTTTCTTCCTTTCTGCAGTGAGAAAGTCAACAAAGGAATTGGCATCGAAAATATCCATTATTTAAATGATGGACTATGGCATATGAAGACATATAAATAAGCCTCAGAAGGAATGCAGTTGTGCTCAGTATGGCTACTGTGCTGTATCTTTGCTTGTATGTGTGTGTGACAGCATGAAGACAATGTCTCTGTGGCTATGCTGAATAAATTCTCCAGATGCTTACATTTTGTTAGCTTCACAAAGTTGTCCTAATTTTTCTTAAATGCAAAGTAAAATTGGGTAGCAAATTTGGACATGAAAAAGCTTCTGGTAAGTAACTAACCAGATAACTAGTCTTTTCTTAGGCTAATGGTATCAGATGAAGGGTAGGTCTTGAGACGTGGACTTGTCAGTTTTACGGTGGACCCCCTAGAAAAATCTGTCTAGTTAATGGTGCTGAAAGCTAGACTGGAAATTGTATTCTATTTCCCCAGGTCAACCAGTAGTGCCTATTCTCTTGTATGTCTGTGTGGGTGTGTGTATATGTTTAACTTTTCATTATGGAAAAATCTGAATATATTAAAAAGTATAGGGAATAATAAAATAGACCTTTCTTTCTTTACCCAGCTTCAGTCAAACTTATTTTATCTGTATTTCTCATATTATTATTATTATTTTTAAATGTAGAAAGCTATGGAGATGCTACTGTAACTGTTTAATCTTTTTTTTTTAATATGTATTTTATTTTTATTGGAAAGGCAGATATACAGAGAGGAGAGACAGAGAGGAAGATCTTCCATCCGATGATTCACTCCCCAAGTGAGCGCAACGGCCGCAACGGCTGGAGCTGTGCCAGTCCGAAGCCAGGAGCTTCTTACGGGCCTCCCACGCAGGTCCAGAGTCCCAAGGCTTTGGGCCATCCTCGACTGCTTTCCTGGGCCACAGGCAGGGAGCTGGAATGGAAGTGGGGCTGCCGGGATTAGAATCGGCGCCCATATGGGATCCCGGGCGGTCAAGGCAAGGACTTTAACTACTATGCCATTGCGCCGGGCCCTCGCATATTATTTTGAAGTATCCAGTTATTTGAAGCAAATCCCAGATAGCTTATCATTTTATACATAATTACTTTGGTATGTATCTTTAAAAGTTAAGTGGTCTTTGTGGGCCCGGCACAGTACCTAGCAGCTGAAGTCCTCACCTTGCGTGTACCAGGATCCCATATGGGCACTGGTTCTAATCCTGGCAGCCCCACTTCCCAACCAGATCCCTGCTTGTGGCATGGGAAGGCAGTTGAGGACAGCCCAAAGCCTTGGGAACCTGCACCCGTGTGGAGACTTGGAGAAAGTTCCTGGCTCCTGGCTTCGTTCAGCTTTTGCTGTCACTTGGGGAGTGAATCATCAGATGGAAGATCTTCCTCTCTGTCTCTCCTCCTCTCTGTATATCCGCCTTTCCAATAAAATAAATAAATAAATCTTAAAAAAAAAAGTTAAGTGTTCTTTGTAACAAAGCATAATACCAGTGTCATACCTACAAAATTTGACTGTTAATATGATCAGCTCTATTCCAATTTCCTTGATAGTCTCTTTTAAGATTTTTTAAGCTTAGATAAGATATGTATATTTTATTTGGCTGTTATGTATTTACATTTTTAAATTTATGGATGTCCTCCCTTTTCCCTTTGTTTACTTTTTAAGAAATCTAGTTGTATTGTAGTTTTTTGATTGTATCACTGTGAAGCCTTTTTTTTTTTTTTTTAAGGTTTATTTACTTATTGGAAAGTCAGGGAGCTGAATGGGAAGTGGAGCCGTCAGGATTAGAACCGGTGACCATATGGGATCCCTGGCGTGCAAGGCGAGGACTTTAACCACTATGCTATCACGCCAGGCCCACTGTGAAGCCTTTTGACTCATGCTCGTTGCCAATCCTGTAAACAGGTGGGGTTGATCAGATTCAGATTTGATGGTTTTAATGCCCTCTTTTTTTTTTTAAAGATTTATTATACTTTATTTTTTAAATTTTTATTACAAAGTCAGATATACCGAGAAGAGGAGAGATAGAAAGGAAGGTCCTCTGTCCGATGATTCACTCCCCATGTCAGCGCAACGGCCGGTGCTATGCCGTTCCGAAGCCAGGAGCCAGGAACCTCCTCCAGGTCGGGAGACCTGAGTGCAGCGTCCCAAGGCCTTTGGACCGTCCTCTGCTGCTTTCCCAGGCCACAAGCAGGGAGCTGGATGGGAAGTGGAGCTGCCGGGATTAGAACCGGCGCCCATATGGGATCCCGGGGCATTCAAGGGACTTTGAGTCTGCTTTACTAAGAGCACTAATCTATTTTTGTAGTTTAAAGAGTATTTATTAATTCATCTAGTAATGGAAGCCATCCTGCCTATGAGCTTTGCAATTATTTTTGTCTCCGCTACCTTCATTTGGTTGTTTATCTATATATTACATGTGACTTTCTCTTTCAGATGGATACAGACATTTACGGGTTTATGATAACTTGTGTTACAGTTAGGAGTTAGTGAGAAAGGTGAAGGTGTATGATTAAGAGAGATCGTTTGGCTGGCTATTCCAGCTCTACCTCCATGGGTAGACATAGATATAAGGTCTGACTCTCAGCTTGAGAAACTGTTGCCCGCTGTTGAAAGTTGAAAAACTTTAACGTTTCCTGATAGAATGCATAGTGATAAGTAAGCAGGAAGTTTCTTGATAAACATGGATAAGAGGGAAAGTTGGCAAGGTTGGGAATGTTGGAATAATACTTTATCCTCGCTAGAATAAAGCTTGGTGATTTCTTTGCTGCCTCATTATTAACTAGGATGTTTATTTTCTGCCAGTCTTTTCCAGCCTATGTAGGTTCCCTGATATTTTACCTAATTTATCTTTTTTTCCAGTTCCTCACAGAAAATTATCCTTTTGTTGTGATGGTTATATTCTACAACTTATCACATTGTTGTAATATTACTTCAAAAAGCAGGTAGATGGAAGTACAAATAGTCTTATCAGCAGTGCATTTACAAATCATCTCTGAGGATTTTTCAGCAGTCTCATTTTATGTTAACTGGCCTCAAATTCATATGTAAGTGAATATATGTGCCGTTGATGTCAAACCAAACTTGGAACCTTTATTTTTGGTGTTAATGTTAATTGGCGAAGATTGTCTATGGAGTAATGAGAAAGCACAGAAACACACATTAGAAAAGTTAAGCATTTTGTTACCTAACTTCTGAAATAGTTTGGCCTTGTCTGTGGTCAGTGATACGGTGGCTATTGGGAACACTTTTCAAATATTCAGTATCAACATCTGTGCTTGTTTTTCTACCACCCTAAGGTGTACTGACTGTTGCCTTAGTGATGTAAGCTAAATATGTGTGTTGCCCCACTTTCCTTGGATCTGGGGCTTTGCTGGTGTGGATCAGTAGTGTCCCTCTGCGTGTGTGGGCTCTGTGAGTTTCTAGACATTAGATCATAGATGGCATGGCAGTCAGTTCAAAGAGATTTAGCAACATATATATCAGCCTCTATACGATTGGAAGAAATTTTTTGTTAACCCATATTCTTAAAAGTAGTAGTACTTGGAGGACCTATTTTCTCTCAAGATGTAGTTCATTTTTAATTCCACATTAACTTGGTTTTAAACCAACTTACAATCTAGTCATTCCAATATACTTTTTTTTTAAAGATTTATTTTATTTTTTTTATTGGAAAGGCAGATATACAGAGAGGAGAGACAGAGAGGAAGATCTTCCGTCCAATGATTCACTCCCCATGTGAGCACAACGGCCGATACTATGCCTATCCGAAGCCAGGAGCCTCTTCCAGGTCTCCCACGCAGGTGCAGGGTCCCAAAGCTTTGGGCCGTCCTCGACTGCTTTCCCGAGCCACAGGCAGGGAGCTGGAATGGAAGTGGGGCTCCTGGGGATAGAACCGGCGCCCATATGGGATCCTGGGCGTGCAAGGTGAGGACCTTAACCACTGCACCACCGCGCCGGGCCCCATTTCAATATACTTGAGTCATTTACTCAGCCAGGGTCAATACAGCTCAGTAGGTATTTATTAAATGTCTACTAGGTTCTAGATAATGTGACACAAGGATAAATAATATACAAATGGTACTTGTCCTAACGGATTTTCTAGTCTAATAAGTAAAGTACGTTGAAAAAATCTGGGCCAGAGTGGGGCCCGGGGCCCCAGCAAGAGCTGGGAGACCCCCGCCTCACTCCCGTCGCCAGCCAGGCCCTCCCGCTGACCCTGTACGTACAGCCAGTGCTTTGAGCCCAAAACGGGAATCTTGGTTTTGTGTCCAAGGCCTATCTGGGTGTGTCAGGGAGGTCCAGAGGCCACCGCCTGAATGTTGACATGCTGTGGGGGAGTCCTTTTCCCCTCCCTTGGGACAGCGTTCCAGTGACCACATAGCATTGTTTCTGGTTGATCGCTGAGCAAGCTGACATTACAGAAAGTGCCTTAGACACTACAGTACTAAGACAATGTTAAATGTATTATTTGCCTCTAACGAGTTCATGTATTAAGGTTTGACTGTGCTTCATATCATGTACCTTTCTAGTCAAAGTGGTATTATAAACATTCAGTGACAATGAATCAGTGTTAATGAGAGATCCTTGACCCTCTGCAATGTGCTTGAAGACAAACCTTTTGGGTTAAAAGCTTTAACATCTGTTAGGCAGAACTCGTCGTGTGAGTTTGGAATCTTGTTTCCCCTTTATGAACTGTCCTGGCTGTTGACCACCAGACAGCTGACTGCAAACATCTTTTATTGTATTCCCATATTTCTAGACAATGATTTTTGTAAGACAATAAATTTATTCATTATAGATTTTAAAAAATCTGGGTCATGGTAACAGCCCAATGCCAATTTAAATTCAGTAGGGTTTTAGTAATATTTCTCTGATTTAAATCATCAAGATCTACAAATTACACCTGAACCAAATATAAAGTTCTTTGGATTGTATCTAATATCAGGTTTAAGAAAAACCAAATACCACGGAATTGAAGTGACTCGGTGTTCCAACTCGGATGGTTGTCCCATAGGCCAGTGCCATGAAAGACTGATCAGCCCTGTGCAGTGAACTGTTTGAATGGTTTGGTGGTGTTCGTTGCTAGCTTTGATTATCTCTTTCAACTGTCTCTATGTCACAATCTCATATTGCGGACCCAAAACAAAATCAGCTAGATTTATCCCAAAGGTAGTCATAAGCATTTCCAATTGAGAGATTTGGTATTTGCCA